TTTCAAAGTCTCTAAAACTTTTTTCTATTACTATAGCTGAGCATCTCAACTCTGACAATTTAGGGTCTTATTTTCCTCACCCTAGCAGCATATTTTTGCTCTGCAGAAATCAATGGAATACACCAGCTGAAGCAGAAAACAAAGTCCTTACGTTTGGCCTGCCATTACCCAGGAAACTGGTGAAATTGAGGTTTTTAACTCCGAAGAGAAGGGGCAGAATGCCTCTTGAGTTTTCAGATTTGACACACTCTGAAAACAAATTCTTCTGGGTTTTGAAAACCCAAGTTCCAAAGACATGAAAGCCCCCAAAATCAAAGTCTGCAAATCATTCAAAAAGCAAGACCATGCCACATGCAGATGTTTCACCTGATGGTTCTGGAGACAGTCATTCTTTGACTGATAACTAAACAGAATGAATAAATCAGCACTACATTCATTCAAGACTCTTGGTATTAATTCTTACAGTGTACTGACAGCAAGAAACACCTGATCCGGAGACATCACCAAAACTATCTTACAATAGTCGTAGAGGAAGCAAACAGACAATACACTGATGGCAGTCGAACACTGTTACCGAGAAGCAGATTGAGCTATGTTTTAAAGGCTGAACTACACTTCTCTGTCAAAACCAATCACAAATGCATTATTTACTGTATGTAATTTGTTTAATCAAGCAAAGCTGGATTTCCCAGCTTATAAATCAGTGTTATATATACAGTCAGAAAGGGGAACAAACCCACCAGTTTTACCATCAAAGCAGCAGGTAGTCATCATTCATGCCAAAAGAGAATGAATACAAACGGGCACACACACTGGAGCCAGCCAGTGACAGAAGACACAGCTGCGCAGACTAAGCCAGCATGTCCCAAGTGCTATGAACGTAAAAAAAAATAATCCTGGTCAAATCAAGAATGCTGGGCTTCGCTTTGGGTATTCCAACTTCTAGCAGCATCGAAGTGTGAACAATATAGTAGCTTCCAATTTTGCCAAATACATACGTTATACTCCTAGCAAATTCTTCCACTGTAATCACACACATCAGTCACACATCAGAGTGAAGGATCCCTGCCTTCTCCCTGAAGGATTTTATGCCTCGTTGCAAAAGACAGTTGGGAATAGACTGCCACTTCTCTATGGGCACATTTGAATTACCTCTTCCTGCCTCTAGCTGATCAAGATAAAAAAACCTAATCTTAAAACCATTACAGCAAACACCTAGTCTCTAATGTAATGGCAACACAAACAAAGCCAGGTTTAAGCAGATCCTTCCTCACCAACTGTTGTAGAGAATTCTTTCTCTTTGTGGATTACTGTGCATCTTGGGCATTAGGAGGACATATCTCCCTAAATCTTGGCCACAGACCATGAAGCAGCATTATTACCTCCAGCAAGAGACAAGCTAACCCAGAGCCCTGTGCCTGCACAACAAAGTTCAGTATTTGTATTATTTTGTGGCTAAGGACATAGCCCTGGAGATACTGGTACACTGCTGGGAACTCTTCCTTACCACACCATTTTGAACCCCAGATCAGCAAGGGCTCCCGCCACCCCACATCTTACATTCCTACTTTCCCAATCCAGCCCTTCTCGCTACAGTCCCAGTATTTCATGCCCTCTGCCTCCTTCCAACACACCTCTCACCACTCTGGCTTCCTACTCAGTCTCACCTCTGCTTAGCCTCCTCTCCAGAAACCCCTTGCCCCCAAATGTTCCCGTTTTCCTAACCCACAATCCCGACATCCCACACACACTACCCAACCCCCCCCCCCCCCCCCCCCCCCCAGGCAGATTCCAGCACTGGCTCTGTCACAGCTCAGGTCGCTGCAGCATCCATGGTTTGTCCAAGTGCAGCAGCTGCTTTAACACTGGATGAAATGCAAAACAGAAGTATTCCTTGTGTGACACCCACACAAGGAATGTACCCCCAGGTGACATCTCAGTCACCCTCCCTTCAGGAAAGGGTGTATTATCTTGGATTGCACAACACTTACTGAGGACAAAGCCACCGTGCAAAATCTTGTTATTACACCATTAATGTATCCACACCCAAACTACCCCTCACAGCACATGGTTCAAAGACATCTTGTGCAGGCCTGTTACTTATCATTACCCTACGCTGGATAAAACTTCCTTTGCCCATCTTTTGGATTGACATTTTGTGTCATATTCAGTACCAAAAAAAAAAAAAAAAAAAATCTGGTTCTCATAAAGCATGACCTCGCTTTCTAGATATGACTTTTTGGTTGTTATTCCTTGCATTACTGCTGTTCAAACTAAACTAACTACAATTTCTAACTTTGACATCTTGAATACAATCAGCAGCCACATTGCTTAGCTCACAGCCTTCAGATCTCAGCAGAGTGATTGTGAGAAAACAGATGAAAGGGGTACACACATTTACCTCAGCTGCAGATCACATGAAATTAGAGCAAGCATCTTTTTGGTAACTCTTGAAGTGAAGTGAGATTATGATCAGAAGCTTGACTATACGTGAAATCACCTTCTTACTAGCAGATGAGGCCTCCATGCACATCCATGGCCTGGTGTACTAATTAAAAAAATATGGGTTTACTCACTTTCAGACCTCCTGTCTCTGTTCCAGAGAAACACGGTGGCTACAAAGGGTTCTAGATTAAATTCTGGATCATGTATTAACAATATTAACCAAGCTCCAATTGCAAAATCTTTTGATAATTTCAATTATGAATAGAAAGTGAAGATCAAGTTGGCTGACAGAAAAACCTGTTTCTGTACATTATCAACTACAAACTGACACGGGCACTACTCAGAGTAGAAATTTCAAAACACAGAGTCTGCTTAAGCTCTACTGGAAAACCTGAGTACACTGGTTAGATTCCCTATGCAAAAAGGATCACGATATAAGCTTATACTGCACTGATATGGAGACATAACTATAAAAACAACCTAGAACCATCAGGTCATTCTCTAAGTTAACAGGGAAAATAGATTTTCTGCTCCAAAAGAGTAATAAACAAAAAGCAAAATAAACAATTCCCTATACCAGTTCAGACAAGAAAGCAAACTACAGTGCCAATATTTTAACATGAAAATTGAAATCAGTCCTCCTACTGTGAAAATGAAATATTTTTAATTAACAAAAAGGGCATGTGGGATGGGTCAGATAATTAAAAAAAAAAGAACACCGAGACTGAGCACTTGTGAGAAACTCCATCTGAAAGGGGATGTGAGAACACAAGAGGAAGGGTATGAAGAGAGAGTTAAAGCTAGCCTGAAGCACGTGCATAGTGAAAAGAACCTTTTCGGAAGATTTACTGTTATGGAGAAGATCTGGTATTGTAAGGCTTTGCCTTGCAATGGAGATATGGAGGGAGATGAAGGAGGGAAAAAAAAAAAAAGAAAAAAAAGGGTCCATAAACTGGTAGCATTTTCACTTTGTTTCAGCTTGCAAACGAGGGCAGGATCAAACAGGCCAGAGCCGACATAAAAAGAGAGAAACTGAGGTCAACTTGGGTAAGCAGGTGCAGCGTCACTGACTTCTTTCACCTGCTTCTGGTGGAGGAAAAGAGTCATAATTACACTTTCAACACTTTCACAAGTGTAAAAGATTGAATGTATTCCTAGCTATCAAGAGACATTTTGAGTTCAACGTTGGTTCCATCCTGAGTTCACCTGATAGATCTCACATAAGTTACTCAATCCTACAGTGCTTCATTTTCTCTATTTATAAAGTGAAGCAGCCTTGCTGTAATTTATTTCAGGATAAATTAAGAAAAGGTTTATGACTTCTAACGTTTTGGGTTTGAAGTCAAGGTAGTAAAAATATTGAATTTACCCCATATAGTATAACGCTTGGCAGCTAGTGGTTTATATTCACTGGATTTCTTTTGAAATTAGTACTTTCAATAATGGAAAGAACGTGACCAATTCCATTCACTTTACCCTACACATGCACAACCCAAAGCTAAACTGCTCAGTCATGTTTTTTAATTTTCCAACATTAAGATTTCATAAACCTGCAATATTTCTTTCCTTGCTTAAAAAAAAATCTATGCATTCATATGACTTAATAAAGGAAGTATTTGATATATAAATAACAGTGAATGCCAAGAAGCTGAAAATATCATTGGTGCAAACCCAACTCCTTCTGTCAAGTTGGCTGCCACAAATAAATTAGAGGCAGGAATTTCTGTTTCAGGCTTATTCAAGGCAAAATAAAACAGCAGCTTTATTGGTTTTAGACAAGGAAGGCAAGATCAGATTTGTTTGAACTTGTCTATAAAGTTCAAACAAATCACACTATATATTTTGGTTTGGTACAATCTAAAAACTCCGAAATGTTGGGGTTTTATTTGGTTTATCTCCAAAAAACTTGGAAAAACAGAGGCAAGCATAAGTTGCAAACATTTTAAGGCATTATCCAGATTTTCAATTAATAAAATACCATTTTACTTTAATATGCTTTCTCACATTTATAATTACCCTGATGTAATGCACCCTGTAGCTACAGACATTGCACTGAAAATAAACTGGATTTTTTAAACTGAATTACTGAGTAACTCAAGTTTAGAGCACTAGCAAATTATGTGTCATGTTTCAAACATTTGGAAATGAATATATTTATGTGCATTCCACTGAACCAGGCCACTGAAGGGCCAATTCCTCACCCTGGCATTCAAAGTTAACAATACGCGTCTGGATTACTTAGTTGAGGTGGCAGATGAACTCTGTTGCTACGGCTGTCCTAGTGGTAACAGTACTAGTTAGTCACCCTGTACACATCACTTTATCCAGCTCTACGTGGGAAAGCTCATGCATCTGCTTAGAAGTAGCTGCAAAAGGTAAAAAAGAAAAGTGAAAAAACATACATGAAAGTTTGTACATTCAGCTATGTGTACTGGTTGCTCACATATAAGCACAATTATGAAAACTAGGAAAAATCTATTCAAAGATTTATTTTTATTCAGAGTTGTTTCCACACCTGGCGCCCATCCCTTCCCCAGGGCAATCAAATCAGTGGTTCACAGAATTGAGGCAGTCGGGTTTAAACTTGGAGCTGCTCTGTAGTGTCCAGGTTTGTTTTGCTCCCTCTGCGGAGAAGCACTGCTAAATCTGAAGTGTGTCAAGTGGGTCAGGTTCAGAAGCTGGTCAGTTCTGGTTCCTTCTGACACTCTGGACACTGAGTTCTGGAATCCAAATGAAGAGGCTATTAATCAAAGGAAGCCAAAGTGACTTCTCCCATGTCGATGAAGATTGGTGAGCTGAGCAGGCTTCTGCCTGTTATCCAGCTCCCTTTGCTGTTTTGTGTCTGTGCACACTAGTTTACACAGCAGCAGAAGGAAAATATTTATTTGTGGAGATAAGCAGATAATCTTCCAGGCATTTTTGGTTCCTCAGCCATCGATGATTATCGTACCCTTTAGAGAGATTGCAATTCCCATCTGTGCAATTCCAGGGCCTCTTAATAGGCTATTCTTACCAGGCGAGGATGGTGAAAAGACTTCTCTTCCAGTGAAGCTCGCAGATCCAAACTGCTGAGTGTGGGGTCGCTGGAAGGGATGAGATTTTCCCAGCCAGCCAGGCAATGCTGTGAAAAGACATGGCAATGCTGCATTGGAGTGCTTTACCCTTTTTAATCTATTGTGACCTGTTAGTTCTAAATAATAACTTCTGCATAAGGAGGTTTTAGCAGGTAATTAATTAATTTTTGAGGAGTTTTATATGACCAACAGAAAAGAGAAGAAATCTCTAATGACGCAAAACTGCACAGCTATTCCCTCTTCTGCCTTTCACTGGCTAATTATTTCTAAAACAATCTCCTGCTTTGTGAACTCAAGCACCCGACCTCTCTGAACCTATCTCAGCTGACTCATCCAGTACCCTAAACCTCAAAAGCAGGCTTCTTCCTACCTCTTCCCTGGAAATCTCTAGGCCAGGGCTGGGTTTGATTAGTAATGCTGCCTGCAGCACTGCCTAGTGGCTGGAATACAGGACCAACTCTATAAAACCAGTTTTAAATCCAACCTTCCCACTATTGATTTTGCCTGGCCCCTACACACTGTGAATACTTCACAGAAGTTTGTCTTTAGACTACCTACATCTGTGGAAAGAAACACAGGCACTCTTAGGTATGCTTCATCATGTTGAAAGGTCAATGTCTGAAATAAGTCAGCTGAATCATGCCCCAGAAGTATACAGGTCCATATGGCACTTTCTTTTTCTCAGTGTAAAGCGTTTGGAGATACGTCAGATACTTTATGCCAGCTACACAAAGGTATGAACTGAGAAGCACACACCAATGGCTTTTCTTGCTATCTCAGTGACCCAGATAAGAAATTTTAGTGGAAATCCTGCCAAGGGGATGAGTCTCAGATTCTCTTTCCTTCTTGTGCTGTAACAACGCCCAGCCTGGGCTGTGCCATCAGTATCAGCAAGAAGACTGCAACTTACCGAAGGTAATCCTAAATTGTCTGCTGGTTCAAAGCTCTTCCTGCGATGGGCTTTGTATTTGTAGGTAGGCATAAGGGTAGACCTGGGAATGCTGACCCTGCAACCACACAACAGAAGTAATTGCCTACATCTTCGACAAGGCAGAGGAAATTTGCATGCCTTCCCCACTTAGAATCCAAGGGTCTAATCTCAAAGTGAACCAAGCCTAACAGTTTTGGATTAGGGCATTAGACACTTAACACGTACATTCAGATTCTGGACCAAACTCAGATAAAACATGCATATCTCACTGACTTGAAAACTGTTCTGCTTATGGAAAAGATCAGTAGGGAGTTTTTAAACAAAAGATATCTCTGCCTTGAGAAGAGCAACCTTCTACAGTGCTATTTTGATGCTGTCTTCTCCCTCACGATTAGCTTTTTCTTCCCTATTGTTTCCTTGAGTTCTGCATATTACAAAGCAGTAATTCTTATCTACCTGACATAGGCTGGCTCTTCCAGGATCTCTGGGGGCTGGTGAGTACGTGGGATCTTACACACAGGGCACGCAGATTCTGAATCCACAGGGACAGCAAAGAGGCGCTGGTTTAATCTGTAACAGTAAACACCTGCCACAGAGTAACGAAACATCATGGTATTTCTAGTTTGTCAGAAGGTTCCTCAACCCAGTCAACAAAGCTGTGTTCTACCACAGTGCCACACATGCATTCTATAGAAAGAGCTGGTTTTCCTTAAATATCTTTTACATTTCCTGTCCCCAAATAGGTTCCTAAAAAGCAAAACCAAAACTTCAACCTCCTCAACTTAAAAAGAGAACATTAACCAATTACAAGAAACCCTGACAAAATAACACTGATTGAGAGAGGATCCCTAGAAGACTCAAGTATCTTCAGAGTAGGAAGTTGAATCTGGTTTAGAAGCTGCAGCTAGAAATAACACATTCTTCCTTGTTTTGCATGATGTGGGGCTCTCTCAGAATGACAGGCAAAGACTGCTCAGTTGTTTGTTCACAGAAATTGGATTAGGAAGAAATCTGATCTTACACTTATGGGAACTGCTTATCAAATCTGGTTCTTCTTCAGGAAGTATGTAATCCAGAGCCTTGGGCCTAAAGAAACACGCAAACAAATCAGTTAGTGACCAGGGGCAGGCCCTCTGAACAGCCCCGTTTTTCCAAGCATACGTTTCTGACTGGGAAGTAGTGGCCTACAAAGTCCCCTTCACAATTTCCCACTCCAATCAGACCATACTTCTCGTTACTCTAAAGGGATACATTGCTGCTCCAGCCCTTCCCCCATACCCACTTACTCCCTGTGCTGCTCATGAATACATGCTTCTTTGTTGGCCTGCCGGAACTCGTGCAGCTCAGCAAAGTATTGATCAGATTTTTCTGATGTTGAGGAGTTTGTATCTAGGAGCCCTGAGAACACCAAGGAAAGAGAATAGTTCAAGGATTTACTGGATTTGGGAAAGCATCAAACAAACCTCACACAAACACCATCATGGCAAACCAGAGATTTACTGTGTGGTTTGGGTCCCTTATTGCATTCATTCATTTTGGTTACTTGGTATCCCCGCTGACCCCACTCAGCTTTGCCATTTGCTACCTGGATTCCCATACCACTGCCTCTTCACCATTCCCAGGAAGCACAGGTCACCTCTGGCCTGAATGAGGAATGGCTTCTGACAAAACTGTTGCTCCTCTGCTGAGACCTGCTATGTGGGCTCTAGGTCCACAGTTCTGTCACAGCTCAAGTTAAAGGGGTCATAAACTGTGTTTTAACTCTTCCTACTACCAAATCATGCCAAGGGCTTTGCTTCACGTTTAGGATTCACCTGCAATCCAGTCATAGCCCAGGAAAGGGCGCACGGACCAGCTGCTCACAGGCATGGTATATTCTTCAGGGTCAGACTGAAAAGTCACATGACCAACTTCCTTCAGGGAAAAAAACAATTCATAAACACTTCTGATACATCTAGCAGCACATTCAAAGGTACAGCTTAGGAGATAACTGGCAGCTGTTCAAATGGGACAGCTGTGGCTTACTTTGAGGCTGCATTCTATCTATGCCTTTACCAGTAATTTGATTCACCAGCCCTTTGTCCTCTCAATTCATAAAACAGAAGGAGGATGCAGGGTACTTGCCCAGGGTAAGGCAGTATTTTTCAGGGCTTTAAACAAAATGCTGACTTCCCTGCATCACACATCCCCAAGCATCAGGCTACCCGTGCTGCCTTGGAGGATGATCACGGCAATAGCTTGCCCTTCACGCTGAAGGAAACAAGCACTGCATCAGGCTACTCTTCCCGAGCATATGAATCACATATGCAAATGATAAAGAGTCATTTACTTACGTTTACATTCACTTACAGTGAAGTGCTACAGCTTTCTAGTCTTGTTCAAGGGTGAAGGAAAGCAGGAGCTGAACAAACTGCCAACAGCCCCTGGCTGCTAAGGCTGGGAATAGTTCTGACACCAACTTCCAATTTACACAGTGGGAACAGGGCAAGTAATGTTCTCCTGACCCTTTCTCCCTATCCTTCTATATTGACTTATGCAAATGAGAAAGCATTAGTTTCACCGTTTACCTTCAACTCTTTGGACTGCGATGTCACCAAGACCGATTTACAGATTATGGGCTCTCTAATGACCACGTGCTGCTTGCTGGTTTCTTCACTTTGTATTTTGCTCCGTGATGGGTCCAGATGACCCTTAAGCTGTTTTTTCTCATGGAAATCACATAGCAGAGCGGATGGTTTTCTGTTCTCTCCATGCCTCAGAAGGAAGGGTTCTTTCTCTGGACTTCCTCGAGCATGGCCATCCCTATCGACTCCAGAGGTTTCTCTGCCACACATAATGATTTCACACACTGCCATAACATTCTTCTCTTTCCCAGGAAAGCTGGAATCCAAACCTACAGCTTCCTGCATCTTTGCTTGTTGTTGCTGTACCCCTCTGTCATTGCTGCTCTGTTTAAGAGATGAACAGAGGGCTGCTCTGGCTGTGTAAGCTCTGGGTTCCACAGACACCAACATTGCAGGGTCAGCGGTAGACTTCACAGCATTGACCTCATTTTCCTTCTGTAAGGACAAAGACCACAGGGCATCATTGAGATTACAAATACCTTTCATTACGACATTTTACTCAGTAAGCGAAAATCAACCTCTCATTCTAGCCTGCTCACCCCTTTAAATTCCTGTGGGGGGAAAAAAGCAAAATCCTTATATTATTCATTAGACGTTATTATTTGGAGAGAATAAGAAAGGGGTTCATTTCCAGCTAAATGCAGCTTTTCCCAATTTGAGAAACCACTAAACATTCAGCCTTTGTGCTTAGAAGAAACAAAAGGATTATGTTCCACAATGTTCATTCCCATCTTAGATTAAGAAACCTACATTTCTTAGGCAGGAACTGATTTCTGAACCCTTTGCAAGGAGAACATATTTGAGACCACAGGGTAAACAATAAACAAAAGTCTAGCTTCTTTTCTAACAGACTCCATATTCCACTTTCTACCAGCTGCTCCATGTCCACGTTTCCTTTATCACACCGCTCCATAGGCAGAGCTGCTGCCTACCCTACAAGATCCATTTGCTTCCCAGCCCTCCTAGCACAGGCACAACACATACCCCTCTCTCGGGCAAGGGGACAGATCTTTCAGTAGCTGTTCTATTTTGAAGAGATGCTGGAAGGAGTGGTTTGCTGGGAAGTCTTTTTCTGATCTCTTCCTGCTTCATTCTGAGCCTTTGTAGAAGGTCCTGGTTGGCCTGACGCAATCTCTTCAGGTGGTCTAATTCCATCCTATGAAAACATTTTCTTGTAAAGCCAGAGGAATGGTGAACTACATGAATGGAAGCATTAAGTGAAAAAGCAGACTCAGGAGGAACCACTTTCAGAGGATTTTTCATTAAAAAACACTTACAGCTGTTGGAACACTGAAAGTTGGTCATTGCTCAGATTCAAAACTCTCTACTTCAGGAACTAGCACCACTGCATACTACTTTTCCCTCAGATGTAATGTCAAATATTTTGCACCCAGAAACTGGTAGCTGACTGAATAGAGGCAAGAGACTCTTACAGAGGCAACAGTAAACATGAAAAAAGTCACATCAAATAGCTAAATAAGAGGCACTTGATTCAGAGGCTGATATTTAGGACAACCTTATGTAATTCTGCTTTAATGTTCTTTTTAAGCATCAAAATTTATACTGTGATAATACCAGTATGCTCCTAAGTTCAAAATGTGAATAATGAATATGAATGTATTTACTACATTCAAAAGAAATACTGAGTCAAAACTGTCCTCCACGTTCCCCAGGCAGGAAGGCTCCAAAGGCTCAATTATGACTCAGGACTAGGGCTCAGACAATTCCAATCCCACACATTAATCACTAAGGGCTACTGCCCTTTTATCAGAAGAGAGGGGGAAAAAAAAGAGTTAATAAATAAATAAAACTTTGTTTGACTGGAAGGCTGTCATGCTGTTCAACATGGTTTCAACATCACAAGCTCCTCTACATTTGGAGAAAGTGCTGTGTTGTTGTTTTTTTAATAAACCAAACCAAAACCCTAAACCTAAACTCCCACATTGCTTTTTGCTAGAATGATCAATTATGTTCTCAAGAAAACTATGTGCTTCTCTAGGACCTTTTGATCTGAAGGATCTCCAAACCCTTCTCCAAAGCTCATCTGATTTGTTTTTGAGTCTGCTACCTTGGCAACTGGAGATGAGGAATCAAATGCATATGCTGTACAACAGCACTGGGAAGAACATAGAGCAATACTAACAGTCGAAAAACTACAAATGTCTTTTTGTTACAAGAAATAAGTGAGAGGCCCACTACTGGATGTAAAATAGAAATACCAGTCTTAAGGCACTAAACTTCTTTGAGATCATTTGAACAAAACATAAGTTCTCACAGCATTCACAGGACAAAGCTCCTCAGCATCCTCTCATCATTGCTCATCGGAAAGCAAATATTCTGAAAATAACATTAGTCAAGGGACTTTCTGGCAGGGTTTTACCAGATGAGATCCACTCTTAGCATAGTCAACAAGAAGCTGTGAGTCCTTCATGCTCAACCCCAGGGGCTCAAGATTATGAAACTGCTTTAGTCTGAATCCTTTATGAAAAGCAGCTTAGCTTCTCACAGTTAAAACAATAAATAATGGCTGTTTCGGGAGCTAAGAACTCTCATCTCTGCAAGAAAGTTGTCCAACACCTATGCAGAGCTTCCCAGAGCTGTTTCTGCGCAGATGCGCTGGTTCGGCTCTCCCATGCCCACGAGGCAGGGGAGATGGCCCTGGGCATCGTAAACTTCCTCTTCCCTCTTTAAGAGGCGACAGCCGACAGAGAACTGGCAAACCCTCCCTCCAGAGTACGGCGTGGGAAGGCTGCGAGCCTGGCCAGGCCAGGCGCCTCCAGGGCTTGCGGACGTTCAAACTCCCCCCCGCCGACTCCGCGTTTTCAAGCCCACCTGCGC